CAAGATAACCCCAGACAAATGGCTGGAGGGTGCCGCAGTTTAGCGAATATGCAACGGGAGTAACTAGTCCAAAGTCGTTGAAATAGTCTGTGACGATGCGGTTGACGCCGGTCCACGACGAGTAGAATGACCGGTGTGAAAACACAGCCCTCCGCAAAAACGGTTTACACGCCCGTTCGCCCAGGACAGGGCTGAGCGGCGTGGAGGTGAGCGGTACCTGTAAGCTGCCGGGCGTCGAGAAGACAGGCACAAATCCTTTATGCCCGGTTGTCGCTCAGATCGAATCCTCTTCATAAGCCAGGCTATTCACATCCTGACACCACTGTTGCGCGCGCACAAGCCTGGTTGCAGCTATCTGTTAGTCCGTAGTTTCGGCGCAGCATTTAAGTGAATTCGTGTGGAGACAGCTACGTGTTTCAACTGACACTAATCCACTCACACTTGACGTGTCCCAAAACCAAAATGTCCAGCCACCTTACTCGTCACACTCCACTTTTTTTCTCATTGGTCGTTTACATCACGTGACTAATGACATGCATATAACATAGTGGCATGATTGACAACATATAAAACACATCATGAAATATACATGACATCATAAATCATCAAACAGCAACAGAACAAATACACAGATTTTATCCATCCACAAATTTAGGAACAAAACAAAACATGACATTTAATGAGAAACATCCTGAGACGCTACATCATACATTTCGCCCTAGGCTGGCTAGTATCAGGTATAGTAGGCGGTATACTGTATATTCATTTTTTTTCGTTGATTTCGTGGGTCTATGTGGTGGGTCGAATTACAAAATAAGTGACTTTACAGTAGTAGGCTACTAGGTAGTATATAGTACTAGTAGGCTAGTATAGTAGGGCCCTAGTCTAGAAGACATGTCCCACAGCACTTCATACACGTTACACAATACACAATGGGTCATGTCTACTAGACTAGCTCCGTATAGTAGGCAGTGTAGTGTATAGTACTAGTCCCTAGTCTAGAAGACATGTCTCACAATACTTCATACACAATACACAATACACAATGGGTCATGTCTACTAGACTAGCTCCGTATAGTAGGCAGTGTAGTGTAGTACTACTGTCCCTAGTCTAGAAGACATGTCCCACAATACTTCATACACAATACACAATACACAATGGGTCATGTCCCCAGCTAACAAAAAAACGTTCACATAAAGTTTATTTAAGGTTATGTTTTGGTTTGGATAACGTTATACACCAACGTTATAATACGAAATTGTGCGGGTTTTTATAACGTTTATAACGTTAAAAATAACGTTTTTCCTAACGTACTAAAACCTGAAAATAACGTTATTGTGCGTGTTCTGATAACGTTAAAAAAAACCGGACAGCAATTACGTTAAATAATAACGTTTGTATTTACGTTAACTATTACGTTTCTTTTTTTACTTAAATATAACGTTATTGAAGCGTGGTCTATAACGTTAAAAAAAACCGACACAATTACGTTAATATAATGTTGTATTTACGTTACTATTACGTTCTATTATGTTATGTATATATATATATCACAGGCCTCTACATTAACGTTTGGATCCACTTGTCCTGTCGGACAAGTGACTTCAGAAATCCACTTGTCCTGACCTAAAATGAACTTGACCGAATATGAAATCTCAATTTTTTACTGTAAAGGCATTAAAACATGTAAAATAAGCAGTTTGGAACCAGAAACGAATGATCTTTTATTGAAACAACATTTAAACAAATTATAAACATTTCCAAAGTATAATCCTGTGTCAAGAAGAAGTACAACTTATCTGGCATTCCTAACACATGCCCAGTGACACTCAAGAGAGATTAATCTTGATACTCTGACTAACAGAGTTTGAAGTCAGAAACATCTGACAAACTGTTTAAGGATCCTCAAGATCACCAGGCTCCTCAAACTGAGGTCTCCTCTGCCTCTGACCCCCATTGTACCAGAGGTTAAGGGCTCTTGCACTGTTGTATTCTCCAGCAGGAGGGCCAGACACTGTAATGGCCATGAGATAGTCAAGCATGTCAGGCTGAAGGGAGGCCCGCCAGTCTGACTTGACCCTTGCCATGGCAGAAAAACCCCTCTCACAAATGGCACTTGATGTGGGAATCACCAAGATGATCTCAACTAACATCAGAATGTTTTTAAATCTTTCTTTCAGGTTGTTGCAACAGAAACACTTTCTGTACAGATCATCTGTTGAGTGCTGCCTATTCCTCTGCATATGGGCCTTTAGAGCAGGCCACTCTGTCTGAATAAGTTCATCCACCTGGCAACCCATCCTCTCTAGCCTGGCCCGAAAGTGATCACACAGAGTGGCAACTTCGTCTTCTCCATATGTGGCCAGGTCTGCCGCACTCTCAGGGAGGTTCACCAAAAAGAAGACTTGCATTGCCTTCAGTACTGGAGAACTGTCCAGATCTTTCAGTCTTCCAGATACCTTGTGAATCACAGTCTCCACCAGGGCATTTTTCTTGGCCAACATTTGATCATTGGTCAAAGGACATCTGGTCAGCTCCACACCTTGGAAGGTGTGCTCACCACCTATGGCATCCAGAAAACCTTGCAGATGTCTTCCTGGTCTCTGCTGCAGGGCAACCAGCCTGAGGCAAGCCGTCTCTACTGCATCCAGCACGTCTGGGATAGAACAGGTGTCACGCTGAAACTGCAGTGATAGATCACTCAAAATCTCCAGAACATCTTGCAAGAAATGCATGTAGTGCATTAATTTCTCACACTTCAAATGTTTGAGGATGTTTTTTGCCCTTCCTTGGACATCTGCACTGCCTTGTCTGCTCTCTACAATGTTCTCAAAGTGTGTAACAAAGACACTGTAGGTTTCTGGCTTCAGGAGGATAGCTAATGACCTACTCAGGTGAGGCATCCAACGAGTGCCGTCCAAGTTGGCTGGCTTCATCATTTTTTTCTCCATTGCTTCAGCCAGACTTTTCAGCTCTCGCAGTGCCTTTGCAGAATAATGGTAGTGTTTGTGCAGATGGAGTAGAGCAGATTTGATGTCTGAAAAGATGACTGAATCTCTCTCTTTTAGAGCATCAAGCACACCAAGCTCAAGCCTGTGATTCACACAGTGCATAGCTATCAGATGGGGCACATCCCTCTTGAGCAGAGCTGTTACACTGTGATGTTTACCCAAGTTAACACTTGCCCCATCACAGCCTGTGGCTATCAGTTTGTCTTTCCATCCTTCAATATTGGACATGGCTCCTTCAATCGCCCCCAGAACACCTTCTGCATGTGCATGTTCCACAGCCTTCATTTTGACATAGACACACTTGGGAACGCCATCTTCTATCTGAAAAATATATATACAAAAACAATTTTAAGTAAAATATTTTCAACCATTCCAAATGAAAATGTGAATTAAGTTAACAGCTGTCTAATATAAGTAAGAGCAATCAGCATGGATGCTACAACAGAGTTGGATCCAGATGAGATGTTGTGTATTTCTGTATCTCACCAGGACACAATCTGATTGACATTAAAAGTATTTAGATCATATTTCAAAATAATAATATATAAAGAATTTTCTCAATCAAATATTTTAGCAGACAACTGTGACAACAGTTAATTTAAGCATGTTTACTTAAATATTCAAAATAAAACAATGACGTTCTGATCTTACCACTCGTGCATACACCAGCTCGTTTTCACAAACAGACACATCCGTGGCACCGTCAAACATGATGGACAACACCCTGGACTGGTTCAAGACATCCTCTGACACACTCTGAAGATCTTTGTAGATGAAGGGCATGAATCTAGAATGACAAAGAAACATTTTCTGTCAAAAGTTGTTGTCATATGAATTGATATTATATATTACTATGTCACATGTAAATACTTCTGATTGTTAATTAATGCCACTCACCTTGTCAAGTTGAATAAAAAATAAATAAAAGGCAGTTGCAGCCTGCAGTTGTCTTGTTATTGCACAAATGTCATCATTTGCAGCGAATTGGACGAGACAAATAAATACTGAGAACTATAGTGTTTTTTTTTATTATGGTTTTACATGTAACCAGGCAACATTAATAATTATTAATTGACAAAGTTTGCTGAAAGCAATGAGCTGTATGTGGCTGCCCTGTATAGGAGCTGTCTCATCAGGGTCTACACTGTTTTCAAGTTTACATTCATAATTAGTTACATTTTTAGACATATTAATTCATTTTAAAAGGCTAGTACCTTCTGCAGGCATTATCAGTTTTATAACTTGCTGCCAGTTCAACTCCATTGACTTGCTGTAGCTCTAGAACTGATGGGTAGAGGGTGAATGGGAGCTCATTCTTTGCTATCCAGTATGCACTTCTAAAGCAAACAGACAATTTCTGTAGCTGGTCTTCATTTAACTTTCGGATAGCCAAGTCCATAGCACCAACCACATTTGAACACCCTGAAACAGCTTGAGCAGCCTCTGAAGTGGACTTATTTTCAATGTCACCAGTGTAGGAACAGACAACCATTTTCTTCTTCTCTTTCATCAGGCTAATTGTTTCTATTTTACTGGCATTTACATGACTTGAACTGGTTTCATGGCTTTTGAGGGATTCTATGCGAAATGTTAAGCAACCAGTAGTAGTAAAAGCAGACGATTTTTCTGCCGCGTATTTTTCGCACGATGTGCAGAACATAGCCTCCGTTTCTTCATCGTAACGAAGCCATTCATATTCATTAAGCCATTTCGGCAGAAACCCGCGTTTCCGCTTCATTTCATACTTCTTCTTTGTGTCTTCATTACCCTTTGCTGACTTATCTTTTTCGTTTGATTTCGATGTAAACCCGAACTTAAATAGGTTCGACATGATTTGTAAACAATCCGCAAAGCGGTCGTATCACTATGTGATTGTCGCAAAATGTTCAAGCGATTTTTTATTTCGTAAAATTTATGATTAGCGTATAATTAAACACTTTGCTTTTGTTGTATTTTATTAACAATATTTTCACAACATAAGGAATACTTTTTGTCATTCAAAATCGGGAGAATAAAACGTAAAATACAGGGATCCCAAGCAACGTGTTACGACAAGCAACTATCTATATATATCGGCAGGGAAAATCCTGACGCGCAGGCGCAAAACTGTCTATATATATCGGCAGGGAAAATCCTGACGCGCATGCGCAAAACTGTCTAGTTTACAATCACTTCATATTAGACAACACTCGTAGCTACGGTGAGGTTTGAATTTTGTCATTTGGCATGGGTTTTCAGCGTATTTTGGCGTGTGTTTTCGTTTTGATTTTGTTTTCTACATTTTTGTCTACTTGCCCGATCGGACAACCGGGATTCAGAATCAACTTGTCCGGACCCAAGTCTGGTATGCCAAAACCTATCGGACAATGCCTAATGTCGAGCCCTGTACGAATCGCTTCTGACAGTACCCTTTTTCTACATCTGCAAAGAGAGATTTTGAAGGACTCTATGTATAACACACGGCACCCTGACGGGAAATGGCTTGCTTTGCCAACAGTTGATTTGCTACTGTTTTGTCCTGCAATCTGGTGGTCTGTTTTGTCTTGACCAAATTGACTTGTGAAAATATTCTTTCTACACACGCAGAAGAATGTGGCAAAGCCAGTAAGCCACACATGAAGTCAGAGAGATGACCGAACTTCATCCGATTGTTTCCATCTTTTATTGATCGTACGGCATGCCAAAAAGATGGTGGCTCGAGATCGACCATGTGTCCAAGGGACTCCTTAGCGTGAGGTTGTGCCTTCTACTGATCCTGAAGATCGTCAATATATTTTTCATTCAAAGATGAGAAGTGCGATGCCAGTGTCACTCGCCTGCTGTCCCCTGCCAACAGACATGGCATCATTCGGGTCCAACACATGCAGCTGTGCCATTACACTGTCTTCTGCGAATGGGAACCTTTTCTGCATTTGCTGACAATGCACCTTAAGAAAGGTCAAACAATCTAACCAGAATTTCGGCTCTGCATCTCCAAGTTTTTCTCGTACAAGCATGGCCTCACACCTGCCACCAACATCATATCTTCGATCCTCTCATACATGTGTGGACTCAGGATCAATGTCAGACAATTTTTGTGTGGCCATGACATCACTTCGAACAACTTGCTCAAAATGCTCCTGTACTCATCAGAAATGGTTTGGAAGACCTTATTAATGGGCTGGAATTCGACATTCATGGCATCGACTTTTCCAAGAACTCAATTAATAAACAACAGCATGTGTTTTGTTCTTGGAGTAACCATCGTTTCAAGAATTTGGCCAGCCCTGTCAACCTTATCAACAGGCACTTCTGTTTGGAAGAATATCTTCAAAGCGTCCCACTGCTCAAGAATTCTTGCAATCACTTTTCTTCATGACAACCAGCGTGTTTGTGACAGCTTCAACATTCTATGCTGTGGTGCAGAGACAAGTTCTGGAATGCTCTGAAATGCATGTTGCCTCTTGCTGCTCCTAGCAAAATAACAACATACATTTTTTACAAATAATTCCAGCATGATGGAAGGTGGCTGCACGCATGGTTTGCACACAACGCGAAAGAGTTGTATTAGTAAGGTCTCACTTTGTTCATTCTTTTTCATCATAATTTTACCGTAACGAGCCCAGACAAATTTACACGCATTTTCTTTTCTGAATTGAAGACATTTTGCAAATAGTCGACGATTATTCTTGGTCAGATTTTCATTAAGATATAATCTCCTGCCACTTGAGAAGCCTAGCATATTAGCAGTGACCACAACCTTTCTACAATCAAAAAACTGATTCCTGATTGTTCTCCTTGTAAATTTGACAATAATTGATGGATTGGCGCCAGATCTAGGCATAGGCAGTCTATGAGCGACACTGATCACGTCCTGATTGACTGGCATACCAAAAAGCTCGCCGACTTTCGGGATAACCTCGTAGAGGTTTTCGTTTTCAGCCATCGGATACCTGATATGTCTAGAATTTTCCTTCTTCCATATTGATGAAGATCATCCAGAGTTTTTGATACAAGGTTGTTTTGTTCTTGCAAACTTGCAAGATTACTTACTAATATCTTATTTTCTTTCTCATCGAAATTATTCTTTCTTTTGCATTATTGAGACTGTTCTTCATACTATCATATTTATTGCCAACAAATTCCTGACTTTTCTTGATTTCATTAATATCAAGTTGCAGTGCGTTGAGTCTCTCGGTGACAATCATATTTAAACTATCTGTGATTTCCTGTTTTATTGTGGTCAACGAGTCTCTCTTCCATAATCTCTTAACATCATGTCACTGACAGAATCAGATCCAGTTCAATTCTGGGAACGAGTTTTCGAAATTTTTAAGTTACTAAATAAATAATTTTACAAATAGGAAAAGTACAAGTACTCAATCCTTCTCTATTGAAATGATATCTTGTGTGCTTGCTGCACTGCAATCAAACTAATTTTCCTGTAAACTGGTGCTGTTAATTTATAATCACATCAGTTAGCTGTGCAAGTCATAACATAGACAAAAGCACAGTGAAGAAGGCAAAAAGCAAGGATCATTCAATATCAACCAAAAAGAATAAACCAATATCAGTTAGCTATGCAACTCATAACATAGACGATGTACAACCGTAAGTTCTGTATACTTCGATGGAGGTTTTCATGTTGGTAAGTGAGGCAGTTCGTTCTAGCGAGCAATCCTGATATTCATTCGGGACAGTAGAATTGGCGGAAAGTTCGTATTGCCACACGCGGGAATCACCAAACACTAGTTTGATGTTACCATTCGCCTTTCGTTGCCGAGATCAGCCTGACTGAGAGAGCTTCCACTGGTGGAACTGTATAGCGCTGCTACGTCAATAATAACTCTTGTGTGAGGAAGTACCACCGTAAGTTCTATATACTTAGATGGAGTTTCCAAGTCCAATATTTAGGAAACAATAGACACGCCACATAGGTCCCAGATAACTTCATGAAATCATCGTGATATACCTGGATAACCTTATAAGGTGATGGCCGCAAACGTGCACTCTCAAAGATGACAATGTAGTCACGTGGAGTGTAAATATCCTTCACAATCCTCCATTCGATCAGACTATGCATGGCATCACACTCCATTTGTGTGTCCTGCAACAAGGAATTTTTGTTGGACAGCAATGCATTTTGACTGAGGCTGCATGTTTTGACTAGGTGTTGGGGGCAGCAACCTCCTTGCCATGCGATGGTTACGTCTGACAGTGCTTTTGGGTGTCTGTATCAGTACTGAGCTTGGGGCGCTGTGCATTCTTACCACTGTGTCTTCGGTCTGCTGATCTGGGATCCACACCTTATCTCCAGGTGACAGTTGTTCACCTTCTACAACCCTGTGTCTGCGATCATAGTTGTTGGACATTCTCTCTCGGTATATTCTTTCCCTTTTCTGCAAACTATCGTAGTCTGGCAGTTTGGGCAATAGCTCATCTGGGTGACACGGAATTCGTGTTCAGAGCTTTCGACCCATGCTCAATTGTGCAGGAGAATAACCATTGTGGAGAGGTGTGTTCCTGTAGTTCACGAGAGCGAGGTATTAGTCACCACATTTGTTCAAAATAGATTTCATTGTCTGAACAGCTCTATCAGCCTCGCCGTTTAATTGCGCGTAGCCTGGAGAGGACGTGATGTGCTCGAATCCCCACTGTGTTGCAAACTGCCTGAATTCGTCCGAGTCAAGTTGTGGTCCATTGTCAGAAAACAATGTATCACATATGCCTTGTCTACTGAACAACTTTTTCATCTTCAGTACAGTCTCAAATGTGTTCACACTTCTGCTTACCAAGCATATCTCCACATCACGTGAGAAGTAGTCAACGACTATCAGATACATGAGACCCTTGTGGTTGAAGAAATCCGCCCCAACTCTGGACCAAGGCTTTTTCGGAAACGACGTGCCCCGCATCAGCTCGATTCTCTTCTTCCTGTATTTACTGCACAGGTTGCAGGTGCTAATCATTTTTTCGATGTCATGTGACAGTCCTGGCCACCATACTGATGATGCAGCGTTTTCACGTGTCTTCGTAATTCCTTGATACTTATTATGTCTTTCCTCAGGACATTGGGAATCACAAGTCTGCTCCCTCTTAGTTAAGCGGATAGGTGAAATAGATGTTCACTTCTGGAAGAAAGCATATAAATTGGTCTCTGGGGGTTTTTGAGTATGCTGAATCCGAATTTAATGGGAACCACGTTGTCAGAACAAGGTTTCCTACTCAAAAAGGGTGTTGAACATGGGTGGGGTCAAATATCATATTTTTACCGCTGGTAGAGTAAACATATTTTG